GAATGCATCCTGTAGAAATGTTATAAAAGAAATCAATTCATTATCATTACGTATACTTGACTTAGCATTATCTTCCAAATTATCTAAAGAACCTGTCCAACTTGTGAATGATAACTTCATGACAATAATGAGTGTTAAGCACATGAAATGATAAATAAATGTGGATCAAAGGGCATGTGGTGAAATGTTTTACACTAATGTATAGCAAAGATGGAGCAAACTTCAGTGTGTAATCTCACAATTTCAAAATTTGGAACTTTGACTTAGAGTGTATAAGATAAACAACATACATTATTAAGTTTGAAATAACTGCTTAACAACTAAATTGAAGATTATCTAATCCTCTTTTTTAGAAAACATCTTTTCAAGGGAACGACCTTTATTTGATGTGTGTATATATGTATTTATGTGCAGCTATCCAGTTCCAAATAATAGGGGTTTAGGTGAATTGCATTTGAATACTTTTTCAACTAAGCTAAAGTATTGTACCTGTAATGACCTTTATTTGATGTTTTGCCAATCACGGCTCACGATATCATCCTGTTTGACTATTTACAATGTTCAATGTTTATAATCAAAACTTTGACTTCAGTAGCACATGTTATAAAATTGTAAGTGAACCTAATTAATGACAGGTTCAATACTTTAGCTAGTTGAAAAAGTATTCAAATGCAATTCACCTAAACCTCTATTATTTGGAATTGGATAGCTGCACATAAATACATATATACACATCTGTGCTTTAATAAGACAAAAAAGAAACTGAACATTAAATCTGATATTAACCATGAAGGGCACTATTATAAATAAAAGGAAAGACAATATTCAAACTGTAGCAAAATCAACTAAAACACAAAGTACAGTAGACAAGTTATCAAAGGCTATATTTTTGAAACTGTAAAGCAAGTACATCCATGTAGATATTTTGGCTTTTTTTACATTTTGTAAACTAAGCAAAAAAAAAAAAACCAAAGGTATCCTTTAGATTATCATATATATACAACTGATTATTACACAAACTAAATAAAAATGCTGTTCATTAATGTAAAATTTGAAAAGAAACAAAATCTGTAATAGACAGATGTACATATTGATGTTTATGTGCATATTAAACATCTTTTAGGTAAGTATTCCATTCTCTCTTCACAATGTACTTAAACAGTTTTAATTAAAATGAAAAAGCACTCCTAACCCTCTCTCCCATGAAAGTATGCTCTAAAAGTTCTAAACTGTAAAGCAATGTGATCATATCACATTAGTCAGCATATAATCATGGTCCTTCATAGAGCCTACCCATGATACCCCTGGCTAGCTTCCTTGGTGCCAAAATATTTTAAGAACTTCCGTTGGATTTTTGCCATTACTATAGAAATAAATGTTTCTGTTGTGTATTTATAGATTATATTAGAAGAGAAAACAGGTAATCATCTCTCTACACAAATCACTGGTTAGGCTTCACTTGGAATAGTGTGTATAGATTTGTTCTTCTTATTTAAGCAAGGAATTTGACATATTGGGAAGGGTTAGGTGGAGTGAAACTAGGATATTTTTAGGAATACAAGGGTTATTTTACAAACTTATATTAAGTTCTCTTAACTTGTTTTATCTTCCAAAAAGAAGGATAAGAGTTGATTTCATTGAAGTTTATAAAATTATCCAGAAGATCAATAGGATAAAGGCCTCCGATTTCCTTGAGGTATATTCTTAAGACAATAGGACACAAGTTTCAAATTTGGAACGGGCAGGCTAGGATCCAATTTTACCTTTCTGACAGGCAATTAACTTATGGAATAGTTGCCATTGGCAGTAGTGGAAGCCAGAACTTTCCAGAAAATTAAGAGAAGAATCAATGATTTCCTGAAAAAATAAAAAGCATATATATGAATTTATAATTTTCTCAAAGATGGATGTGCAAGTACAGCCTTGAGGGACTAATAGTCCCTCGTTGTGTATATGTAATGCATTTATATTTAAAGCTGTCAGGAATTTTCGATTGTCAGATGAAATTTTGTTTTAATTTAAGTTTAAGTATTAAGTTTAATTTTCATTAATTATCAATAATTTCTGTTAAAACAAGCAACCTACATAAATTAAACTTAACCCTAGAATGGTAACAGGGGTGGTTTGCAACAACAACTGAATTTAATTCTTTTTTTGTTGTTGTTGTTGCACATGTTCCAACAAGCTTAATCTAATCATACATGAGGTTATGAGAATTCAGTCTTTGTTGTGGTTTTAGTTCTGTACTGATGTATTCTAGTTGTTTTGGATAGCTTGGTGTAATCCAACCCCATGTTACTATTTATGACTGTAATATTTTGCTTCGTAATTATGATTATTTAGTTCGTCCTTTTACTAGTTATAATCATGAATAAAGTTTGTGTTAGTGATAAAACTTTAAAAAATTTGTTTGCGGTATTTTGTACGAGGAAAACTGATTCAGAAAATGATGAAGGCATTAATAATAGTGAAGATGATGTTGAAATTGAATCAGAATGTGAGAGTAACATAAGTGCTTCTGACATTTCCGAGTCTGATTGTGAAGTTGAACAGCCAAAAAGTAATTCTGTAAAAGGTAAAGATGGCCACACACAGTCCATTGGATAACCATCTGAAAACAAGACACCTGCTCATAACATTGTACTGAAGATTCCTGGTTCCAAAGGTGTTGCATGAAACACATCAACTGAATGAGAAGCATTTGAAGTTCTTATCAACTAGGCAGTGATCAAGATAATAGTTTTACATACAGATGAAGAAATACAGCAGTAAAGTCAGATGTATACTGATCCAAGATTCGTGGGTGATACTGATGCTTGTGAAATTTCTGATTTGATTGGACTTCTGTATATTTTAGGTAATGGAAAAGACTCGCATCTGAACACCAATGAACTGTTGTCTTCAGATGGAGATGTTGTATATTGATGTATTATGGCTGACAGATACTTCCAATTTCTGAAAATATTGAGACTTGATGATAAAAATAAGAAATCCAGAGGACAAATTTTCCCCAGTTCTTGAATTCTAGAAATTATATCACATTGTGTACAATCATACACTCTTCATGAATATTGACGTACTGGCAAAACAACTGCTAGGATTTCACAAGAAATACCTTTTCAAAGTGTATGTCAAACCTAAGCCTGACAAGTACTGACAAAGAAAAATGACTGACCACTAATTTCCCACTGCATCACATAAAAACACTTAGGAGTCTATCTGTGAAACTGGCTGCAATACCACAATGGGTAATTGATTTATATCAATTCCACTACCAGACATAATGGTTAATGATTACAATCTAAAAATTGTAGGGACTGAGGAAAAATACAGAAAGAAATCCTTTCCTCCTGATAGAAGGAAAGAAGTTTTGTCATCTTAATTTGCATTCCAATCAGAAGATGTTGGCCTCTTTTCCACCCAAGAAAGAAAAATCTGTAATCATGTTATCTACCATGCACAGAGATCCAAGTGTGAATAAGGAATCAAAGAAGGCTGAAGTTACTGAATTTAATAATTCAACAAATAGTGTAGACACCTTCAACCAAATGGTCCACAACTACACTGCATGCAGAAAAACATGGCATTGGCTACTACGGAGATTTTTTATGACGTACTCAATCAGTATGGCATAACTGGAATGCTACTGTTTTTGTCTGTGAAGAAGCTACATGCACACCAGATAATGCACAAACTAAACAAATATTTTTTTAGTGTTCAGGACATACAGGTTTCAAACATTTAACACATACAATTTTTGTTTTGTGGTCCTTTGATCTGGGGCATAGTCCACATCTAGATTATTTCTGGAGTTAAGAGGATGGTTGATATAGGTGTATCATTCAAACCTAACACTTGATAAATGCTGAAAGTAAGTTCTTTAGGAATATTCTTGGTAAGTTGCTGTTTCATATGAGGGCAAGCTAGCTGTGAACCAAGTTATTTTAGAACTCCCCTTCCTTAATGGTATTTCATTTATTATATTTTTTATAATGCATTGTTAACTTCAAATAGGAATATAAAACTAGCTTCCTGAGGTGGCTGAACCTCATAAGATTTTACTGGGAGTGTGGTCAAAAATATCGACAACAGCAAAAATACTTAATTGATGAATAAATGCATTTAAGCTTTTGCTTTATAAATTTACATATTCCTAATTAAACATTTGTATTAAATTAGCTACATTATTTACTTGGTTAACCCTAGAATGGTAACATAATTTGAACATCTTTTACTGGTAACTTTTATTTGGTAACCACAAGCAAATTTATTGTACTAATGGCCAATAAACATGTATGTCTTCAAAATATTTATTGCACAAATGTAAAGACAAAATAGTAAAAAATAACAAAATGAAACACAAACATGTTTAGAAAGGAAACAGTACACTTCTTTAATGGAATATACTGTAACTTACTTACAAGATATACAAAAATTAGCTGTTTGCTTCTTGTACTATCGCTGATTCACTGTCCGTTGAAAAATGAAACACCAATGTATACACTGATATTACCATACTTTTCCAAAAATAATACACATTTTTTTCACTAAAAATTTATCTAGAAGTTAGGGTGCATATAATATATGGTAATAAATCTTATTCTCTTTACACGCAGTCCAGATCATCTTTCCTGAAGTGCAGTGTGAATGATAATGTATACCTCCTAGAAATGTTGCATTTCAATAGTATGTCTAACATAGTAAGCACTAAGGCAAACTCGATCTTAGCAATTTTAAGGATACTCTAACATTTTTAGAATATTTATTTACTGGCCATGATTGCAAAGATAGCAAGCACTACAGCAAACAAACAATTAGAGATTATATGTAATAGAATTATTGTAATCAATGTTCCAAAAGTCTAGATGCATAATTTTTGGAAGCCTATTATATTCAGAAAAGTACAATATTTCAGTAAACATTAGTAGCTGCTGACCAAAACAAGCAACCTACAGAGATCAAAACTAAAATTAACCCTTGTAGTGAAAGGGGTTTCTTACCCTTTCAAAGTTCCTGCTGTTGCCTGAGTTTCTGAATTTTATCTACTTCATTTGGGTTTTATTGAATTCATGGTAGACAATTTCCAGAACCCAGGTAATATTCTTTTATTCTCCCTGTCTAATTCCATGGAACTATGACCAAACCAAAAATCAAAACTCTAAGAAGCACATGACACCTGATTCAAAGGACTTAAAGAAGCTTAAAGGAGAAAATTTTCAAAGAGAAGAATCAAATATAAACACAAGGAGTTATAGCTGCACTCAACTTGGGTAATTAAAGCTGAGTATTTAATTTATATTCCAGTTAAAGCAACCAAGGTAAATTCTAAAAAGCAAAAGTTACTAAACATGCTATGAGCTGTATTTACCTTAAATTTTCTAGTATTTTCCACTTAAGTGAAGGGGGTTGCTTATATGCTTTTAAAGTCTCTACTGCTGTTGCTTTAATTTTACATATAGTATTTTAATTTAATTTTGTGATAGACGTTTTCAAGAACTTGGGTAATATTATTTTACTGCACTGTAACTAATCTTCTGGAATATCACTTGATTTCATCAGAGGAGAATTTCTGTTTGTTTTCATGTTAGGCCAAAAGCTACACAATGGGCTATCTATGCTCTTTTCACCATAGGTATCAAAATTCAATTTTTAATATTATAAACATGTAGATTTATAGTTAAGCCAGCCACTGGGGGCTAGGAGGCACTAGAAAAGAAAGAAGGGCAAAGATGCAAAACAAACTTATTAAAAACACTATTACAAAACAGAGTACTTAAGTACATTGTTCTCTTATACATGTACAACTATGCACTAAGTCCCAATACTGAGTTGAAAATGTAATGACAAAGTTATATGGGGCAAATGGAGTAATCAGTACTCAATAATAAATGCATTGTACCCAACAGACAACACTAACTATGGCAGCAGATTTCCCAGTTCCTCTGGAAAGGGTTACAAAACCAATTTTCACTGCAGCTCACAGAAGGTAGAGATACCAGAATTTGCTGAACATCAAACACTTTGCTACTTCTCCACACAGTAGAGAGGGAATGAAAAGTGGCTAAAGTGTAAATATTTTGGTTGCTTTGCCCAGTCATACATGTATAAGTAAAGGAAAAAATCATGAAATGGTAATTCACATAGAGGGTTAATCACAAATTAATTTCAAGGGAAACCACCAGGAAGGAAGGGAGGCAAAACAGATTTTAAAATCTGCTTTCACTGTGAGGTGTGCTATGCTTTTTCATGCTTTAGTAGATTATACACATAATAATTATCTTTAATAAAATTTTTACTTATTACACCCAAGACAGAATTTTTCTCTCATCAGAAAGTTTTAACAAAATAAAAATAAAATATATGCATAAATTTAAATCCCAATTTCCCCTATTCTTCAAGAAATGAAAATCAAATGTTTCATTGTAATTTTATGATTCTGAAACATGCTTTAACAATAAATCGAGAAAACTAGAAATTTGTTTGTACAGAAACTTTCAGTTCTGCACAACTTTTGTCATCTGAAAGTTGACTAATGCCTATTGAAAATTGAAACTATGCATTTTAGTTTTAAAAGTGTACTACTTTAGTGAAGGTTTTGGTACCACTATACCTGAGCTAAGGCTATCCATTTCTTCTGAATATTTAAGCCAGCAATAATAAAACTGAAGTGGTATTGTAGCAAATTCAGAGAAAAGAGTTAAACATGTAATTGTGTATGCTAGTAATACACTGATACAATGACCTTAACATACCTAACTTGAAATTTACCGTTTGCCAGTTTTGCCAACTGTATAAAAATGTACGCCATGTCCTCTCATAATATAGGCAAGCTATATGCATGTAAACATAATCAAGTTATACATGCAGGGATATTGACTACTGGTCTAAAATGGCTATAGCTTCACTGCATTATAAGTCAGTAGTTAGGCCTTATTTAGAGTACATGTTAATGACGAAGTATGAAAGAATTATCTTGCAGCAGATATAATGGGTGAGGATAAAAGACTATCTTGTCATCTTAGTGGGCTGAAAAAATTTAGTTTCAGTTTTTGTGTATATTATTATCTTTAAAAATGAAAACAGAAAACAATTTATTCTAAGCATTTATTTAACAATCTCAATTTATGCTTCAAAAGTTTTGATTTTCTGGTATTTTAAATTCTCTGTATAGCATGATTCAATGAAAAGAAAACACTAATGCTAAAACATAAAACACCAGTATTGTTACCACCACTATCTAAATTAATGTGATGTTATCCCTACTTCCAGTTTCTTCTGCATTATCCTTCATTTCCTGGAAGAATTCCAACTTAAAATGCTAGAATATTTTGCATTAAGCTAAGAAAATCAAATGTTAACAAGTAGATGAGAACACTGCCACTACATCTTCAACTGCAAAAATGTAAAGAAAGATCACAACATGGACTTTATCATCAAATAAGAAGCAGTCTGAGAACTTGATTTCTGTAACTAACTAACTCTTAAGATTTTTACAGTTATGCACTTACTAATAATAAAGTAACATATCTGATAGCATCAAACTGCACTCTTAAGCATCTGGTCAAGATGAGTTTTCCTATCATTTGACTTTCACATCACCTTTATATAATAAAGTACAATGGTTTTTTTAATTCTACAATCTGTGCCATGTCTGCTTTTTCATAGCTAAAACATATGATAGAACCAGGCAGTGGCATTTCAAATTTTGTAACTTCCAATCAGTTATATTTCTCTTTGTAACAATAATCAACTTTTAAACTTCTTTCATCACATAAAATAATTTATAATCATATATTAATATAATATTAATAATATTACATACTGTATTCAAATTTTTAGAACTCTTCCAAGTTGTACCATAATAAACATTTATATTCCTTTAAGTTTACAAAGGAATTAAAAAAATAATAATAATTGTACTTGGGACCATCTATTGGAATGTGTTCTATCATTTTAAAATTACTTTTGGTATTCAATACTTATATTAACAGTAGCAATTACAGTGTTAGTAATGCTGACATTATAGCTTTTAGGCCTGGTGTTTGAAAAATGCAAACCTAACTGCCTAATCAGGTTCACTACAAGATAGTATTAGTACATAATCCATTTATTTACAATCGACACTGCCAACAGTAACAGCAGTGGAAGATCTGTTGACAATGACGATGTTGCTAACATCAGCATAACTAGTGCTGATTGTACTACTACTATTTTCAGTAAACTAATGTAATTTTTATAAATGTCCAAATACAACTTCGTAACTACTTAGGAATTAGAATTTGAAAAGCTGAATTTCTAAATAAAAAAAATTATATATATATATA